GGAAACTTCTCGAAGAAGTTGAACGTACCGACGGAGAGCAGAAGAAGAAGAAGAAGAAGAAAAAGGCGAAGCGAAGGTAGCAAGAAGATGCAAGAAAGTAGTACTCGTAGTAGTTGCAGCAGTAGTGGTAGTAGTAATAGTCGTAGTAGTAGTCGTAGTAGCCGTAGTAGTAGTATTCGTAGTAGTAGTAGGAAGAGGAGGGAGGAAATAATAACGACCCCGACGTCGCAGTGCCGCAGAAAGGTTGACGACCCGATGCCAGGCGACGCCCTCTCTCCCCTTACCGCCCTAGCATCCCTTCTCCATCGTCCTCTGCAACCACCATCCCCCTAGCTACCACCACCGATGGCGTCGGCATCCCCCACTCAATTCTACCACCCACCTGGCACTGCACGTCGTAAGCGCATAGCGTACGTACGCCAGAGCTCACCCACCCACCCATCCACCCCCTTCATCCCTCTCTCTCTCACTCTGTACGTCGCCATCAACCATCCCACCATCACCCTACGACCGTCTGGCCAGGGTCGGGATCATTGAACGTCTATAAAGATTTTGACTCCGTGTTACTGCTGCTGCTGCCTCTGCTCTGCTCTGCTCTGCTCTGCTCTGCTGTCGCCGCCATCGCCACGGCCGCGGATGCAGGAAGCGGTGTGATCTCTCTAATGCGGACGCGTACGCCCTTTCCTAAGGTGTAAACCGTAACGCCTGCGAGAGATTGCCAAAGTAAGAGTAATCGATACGGGGGAATTAACGTGCCGTTGAGTTTTTCACGTGGGATCTATGCGTGTAGATCATTTTTGAGGCATGACGATGGTCTCTTTGTGAATCTGGAATTTTCGAGGGGAATTCGAGCGATACGGAGAGAAGATAATGTGTTTTAGAAAAGATTCATCGAGAATTGGAGGATAATGACTTTTGACGGTAATATGTTTTAGGAAGTATTTATAATCATTTTTCAACAGCGCCAGATCATTTTTGAGAGACGACAAAGGTCTCTCTGTGAGTCTAAAATTTTCAAGGGAAATATCAAACGATACAGAGAGAAAGGATAATGATTTTCTAAGGGGATGTTCCGCCCCTTGAACGTAGAATAGTAAAGGTTCTACGGCCTTGAAATTGAACGAACATGGAGAATTTAACGAGCAACTGTCGAAGCGAAGGATTCATGCCGCGCCTCGACAGGATCAAAGTATTTTCTGGAAGGTGAACGAGGCTCTCACGATGGTGAGAAGGACAAAAGAAACAGGGGTAAACGTTTGCGCAAGGCTGAAGGAAATTTTCGTAACCCTCTCTTCCCCTGGAAAGAGGGAGGTGGCGGGCGGGTGGATGGGTGAGGATTGGCGCGTCTTGCCAGGGTCAGAGGTCGTTGAACGTCGGTAAAGATTTCGACTCCGGCGATGCTGTTCCGCGGTAAATAAGCGTGCGTAGTGCTCCGTGGCTCTCCCACCGGCATCCTGGCCAACCAGACCAGGAGCGTACGGGTACAGAGGGGTCACAGATACGAGACACACCCTCGTCCATTGTAATCCCTGCATGCTACGCGGATGCCATTACGGCCCTAGTAAACCACAAAATAGAAAAAAACCTGACTGATTCCTCTTTTTTTTTTATATGCGAATCTCTACTACATCCGAGGGGATTATTTCCACCGTTTTTCATCTAAGAATCTTCGACTTTTTTTTATAGTTAAGGGGTGTTGTCCATTTTGGACTTTAAGAAACTTTTGCCTTTGTAATTAAGGAAGAATTCTGGGTACAGTAACCGGTTAGCTGAGGAAACGATGTATTACGTTAGTTTTTATGAAA